CCCCAAAACCCCAAAACCCCAAAACCCCAAAACCCCTTATTCAGCAAATCATATTGATCAATTATAACTTTTATTGTTGGCTGCACTGAGGTGATGCTCCTCCTTCTACATTTTCGCCAGAATTGCCTTGAAAATCTGTTGGTTGGCTTGAGTCAGTCTCTCTGGGATTTGGGTTTCTATGTTCTTCGATATATGACTCCAGAACAACACTCTCAGAGATAGTTTCTGCTTCTGTATTGGCTTCTTGCATGGGAGACTGGGAACTGGTTCTAAATATATTCCTGAGACCATTTTTCTGCTGTTGACAGATCGACTCAGGCCATTCAATAGTGAAAGTGATTATAAGGTTGCCAAATGTTTGCTGATCCGTCGAGTTTCAGTTGCTAAATAGTAAGACTATAAGTCCAGCTTTAAAAATTACCTGACAAATTTTGGCATTCCGAACCCAATAAGTGTCATAGATCCTCCATCTCTGATAGTCTTATCTTCTGGACTCTTAACTTCGATCACTCTTCCGTCAAGATGAGTAAATGTGAACTTTGTTCCGCACAAAGCGTCAACCAGAGGAATGGTCTTGGTCATTCTCAAATCAGCTCCGTCTCTTTTCAACACTGAGTGTGACTCATTGAGCTTAAATCTGATCTCAATATCTCCTTGAGCTTCAGTAGGCTCTTGATTCCCTTCATTGCTGAGAAGAACGGTATCACCATCAGAAGTTCCTCTTGCAACCATCACTTGGAAATTTTTAGTTTCGCTGAATTGGGAGTTAGCGTATCCTGATCCTTGGCATTCATCTCATCACTGAGACTGCTGCTGTATCATTCCTGGACTGAGCTCCCTCGTTGTTATTCTGATTCCTCTTCCGTTTCAGCCTGCTCACTGCTGAGCTTGTGCGATGTCAAAATTGGCTGGAACAATCTTTCTCACAATCTCTACAGTCTTTGTGGCTCCTTTATATGCTTCTTCAAAAGTAATAGTGACATCTTTGTAAAGCTTTGCAGTTTTATTCTGACTTGTTGACGAACTGTTAGGCTGACTGGGAGGAGCCTGGGCTCCTCCTGGAGGTTGTCCAAAATTCATTCCTGCTCCGCCGAACATATTGTAGAAGCCTCCAGCTCCTCCGAAATCTGAGCCAGAGGCAGTCCCTTCTGCAGGAGCAAGGGTTTCTCCATACCTATCATATAGACTTCTCTTTTCAGGATCCTTAAGTACGTTATACGCTTCCTTGATGAGATGGAACAAGTCGATGTCTCCTCCAAGCTCAGGCTGGTGCTGTCTGACCAGCCTCCTGTAATTGTCTCTGATCTGATCCTGAGTGGCTGTCTTGGTTACCTGAAGTGTGTTGTAGTACCTTGAAGAATCAACTGATGTCTCCATTAGTAATTTGAGTATCCAATAGTCATCTAGATTTACGGGGTTTTGGGGTTTTGGGGTTTTGGGGTTTTGGGG